CCCCCCCCCCCCCCCCCCCCCGGTGCTCCTCCTCCGCTTCCCCTCGGGTGTAATGTAGCACGTGGGACAGGGCTTCCCCCTCGACTGGTTCACGCACACGTTCAACAAGCTGTCCGTTGCCATGAGCGTCCTCGCGGTCGCCACGGGGCCGGCCGTCACGGCCGCCCATGACCTCGCGGGGGGCTCGGTGGGACCGTTCAAGCTCTCCCTGGTCCTCACCGCGGTCAACGGTTGCCTGCTCCTCTCGTGGCGGCGGGACTCGAACAAGCCCCCGCCGGCGTGCGGCGACGTCGTGCGGCTGGTCTCGCGCGCCTGGGCCGCGGTGGCCGGCGGCAATGGCGGCGGTGGGGGCAGAAATGTTGCCCTGGTAACTGCCGCGCAGGCTTGCTTCGAGGCAGCAACGTTCGCGTTCGCGTTGCTTTGGACCCCTCTCCTACGGTTTGCAAGAGGTGGCGACGACGGCTACCCCGGGCCGGAGCTGCCTTGGGGCATGGTGTTCTCGCAGCAGCTGGTGCGTGGTCGTCTGTTCTCGCGCCCTTCTGGAGTAGCGTACGACTGCTGTGCGTGCGTAAATGCTCTTCTGTTCTCTTGCCGATGTCGTTTCGGACTGATGCCGAAGCATAGTTGCTTTCGACGACGCACTGCTGTGTTACTCCCATACTAGCATTTTTCTTGTTCGTTCCCTGGTAAAAGAAGGAACAGACCCCGGTAAAGCAGTGCGCACAGATCGGCACCCCAAGGCAGGTAAGTAGCTGTGTACTCTTTACGACGTTTTCGGCGACCTCTCCGTCCCTCTGCTGGTGCACCACCAGCAACCGCTGTCACAAGCATGTCGGACATCACCCGACACCCCTCTCGGCCGGCCCCACCCCCATGCCTTCGTCGTTTTGTCACAGGCCTGCGTCATGATAGGTTCCGTCGTATTTAAGCTCGCCATGTCCCTTTCCCCCGGAACGACGGCGGAGAAGATCTGCTTCTGGGCCAGCGCGGGGGGAGCGTTGTGCTTCTTCGCGCTGTCGCTGGGGCTCCCGCGGCGCGGGGTCCAAACCGCGCTGCTGGGGTACGAGTTGTGCGTGGGGCTTTACCTGAACGCCATGGGCATGATGAGGAGCAAGCACATTCCGCAAGAGGTGCGCTACACGTTTGAGTTGTGGCAAATGTCGGGGCCGGGAAATGACGGGCTGGCATGGACGTCGGGGACCAAGGAGTGAGCAAAGCGTGGGGGCGTGTCACTTACTGGTTGCTTTGGAGAGGAAGGACCCGATTGCTCGGGGAATGAGTGCCGTTTCCCGGTTGTTCTGCGTCGTTTTGGTCGTGATGATGGATCAAGAGTGTCAAGTACCGCCACGGGTTATTGTTGTTGTTCTGTTTCCCTTCACCCCCCTCCCTCCTCCTGTCGGCCTTTTCGACCGATCCCCTCCCCAGGCATCCCACCACCCTCTGTTGACACAAACCACTGCTACACTCATGGCAGATGACGAGAGGTGATTGCTTGTAAACCTCCCGCTCGCGTTCGCTTGCCTCCGCTGGGGACGCTCTCCTTACACAGGTCCGAGGCCTGGTCCTGGCGGGCAGCAAGCTCGTCACCACGACGGCGCTGTTCGTGCTCCTGGTCTTCTTGTCGGAGAGCAGGAGTATCGCCACCGGGATGTGCGGCGCGCTGCTGACGGCAGCGGCGGTATGCTCGGCCCGATCGGCAAGGGACCACGGCGACGGCGGCGGCGACGACGGCGCGTTCACTGACGACGGGCAGGCCTTGAACGGCGGCAAGGGGATTGGGCAGCAGCAGCAGCAGCAGCAGCAGCAGCAGCAGGGCGACCACGAGGAAGAGGGGGCGGAGTTGATCGGACGAAGATGACCCATCGCTTGCGTAATTGGGTTTGGACAGTACAGGGGCAGGTTTTTGTAGGAACGCCTTATCGTTGGTCGGGTGCGCAGCATGCACACCGCCAATACATGCCGGTCTTCCGGCCTTCCTGCGGGCTTGTACGTGTCGTAAATTTTATTTTCGTTGAGGTGGGGTATGTGTTTCCCGGTGGTGGCTCGTGGAAGGTTTGGATGCTTCCTGCGTTGTGCACTGTAGGCTGTGTGTTTATCATGACTTGTGTTGCAGAGGTAGAGGCTTGAGTGAAGCGGCGGGCCGGCGGTCTTGCGATGCCTGACGTGCGCCTGGTCCGCTTTTGCGTGATGTGGGAAAATCGAGGACAATGCATTTCCCCCTGTTTTTCTCGTGGGATGGCGTAGCTGTTGGAGGTGATGATGACGTAGCCGTTGTTTTGGAATTTGGCCTTTGATAGGCATGCAGTGTTCGCTGTATGTTGCGCTTTCTTGCCACCCCTTTCACACATGGCGGGCGATGCCCCCCGGCAAACACCACCACCACCTAGTTCAGCCCAGTCCGTGCGCGAGCTCTTGTCTCTGATGACGTCGAGGGAGAGAGAGAGAGAGAGAGAGAGAGAGAGAGAGAGAGAG